CGAGTTATCTCGTTGTGATAAGTCAACGTGCAGTATGTCGCACTGAGCTTCTGTTTCCTGAATTTCCTTTTTACGATTTTCTAATACTTCTTCTTCGGTTATCCAACCTGTGGGAGGAGGCATTATTCTTGGAGGTGATCCATACTTTTCAGAACGAGGAACTCTCCTTTTCCTTTTAGACGTCCCGTACAGCACGTAATAATCGAAAGAACGCCCAGACAGTTCCCCCAACAAGTCCACTTCACGAACCCCCTCTCGATATAGTTGTTTCAACAGAGTATTGTACGATACCCCTCTCTTTCTTCTTTCTGCTTCCAGATCAATTTCCTCTTTGATGTCCGTCATACCATCATCCCCTTCATCATCGCAGACCCCTCTAGAAGTTTGGCCTTCCTCACATTCCAGCACACATGCTTCCTCTTCATTATCCTCCCTTTCTTCTTCTTCTTTCTCTTTGTTCTTGAACTCATTGGCTAGTAAGTAATTATTAGCCATGACAGGAGGTAACGTACCGAATTGAATAGTTTGGGGCTGATCTGGATCTTCTCCATCCCTTTTGTCTGGTTCAAACTTCGATCTCCCAGAAGAACTTTCTAGCAATTCTTCCATCGATTCACCTGTGCCAGTCTCTTCACTGTCTTCAAGAAATTTTGATTGGCCACCTCGAGTAATTTAGGCACCTTAGGACGTGGCATTCCCTGTTGTTGCCTTATCATTTGTTCATAGTTCTGTTGAAAATACCTTTGTTAGGTTCTAGTCATCTCGTTGAAGGGTATCACCTTTCCTGCGTTATACTAGAGCGAATGCCATACATTTGGTTGGCGAGGTTGTGGCCTGAATGTTCTCCCTTTTTTTACTGGCCTGAATTGCCTCTCAAAAGGCGATTCCCTATAGAATGATGTACCTTGCCCTCTACCAGGCTGAGCGTTTGGAAAAAAACTAGGGCGATGTTGATGCTGCCATATCCCTGGTTTCTCTGTATTTGCACTCACTTCTCTTTTGCATCTTGCACACAGTACGTCTTCATCCTTTTTGGGTTCCTTCCCTTTGATACGTTCAAAGGGATGTGGCCCAGGGTCCTCTTCCCCATCATTATAACCAACTTGAATTTTGGCAACTTATTTTTGAAACCAGTCGTCACCATATTCACCCCAAGTGGCTGTGGAAAAGGGTTTTCATCCACTGCCATCTTCCTCTTATCCTCGAACGTAATTCGTCCTGATTCAATGGCATCCTATAACATATGGCGAAAAACCAAACAGTTATTAGTTAAATGTGACCATGCATTATGCCACTTACAACATTTTTTACCCTTAACTTGTTCATGGCTTGGCAATTTATGTTTATCGCTCAGCTTTATCTGCTTATCCTTATATAATTTATCAAATATAAGGTCAGCTTTGGTTATATCAAACGAGAACGTTTTAGCCTTTTTGTTTTCATCTTTTATAGGCTCATCCTTGCCCGACGGTCTAGGCTTAGCCATTATAGGACAAGTATACGCGTCTCCTTTGATTAATTCGGCCAAACACATTTCGGTTTGATCGTAATACTCATCATTAATGGTATGAACATCAAAATTTGGGTCTCTATAATAAGTCCCCTTGCTAGAATTTTTCATTTGCTTTTCTTCTCTTATTAATTCATACCTAATCACGTTCACGCTCAATTGGAAAAGATCAGAAAATTCCTTGTCTTGGAACTTCTTTTTCAAATCAAAGCTTAGACAACCTTGAGCGATTTTGACAAACTCCTTTTTGGGCAAAGGTACAAAACATTTATTTCTTGCTGTCTTGAACCTTTGAAGGAAACTTTCTGCCCATTCGTTTGGCATTTGACATAGATTCGTCAAATCGGCCAAAGTAATTTCGGACTCAGTCTTATAAAACTGAGCGTGGAACAATTGCTCCAATTGTTGCCATGTTTGAACAAAGTTCGCTGGCAAATTGATGAACCAGGAAAAAGCTACTCGTATTAATGAACTAGGGAACAACCTCATTTTAGGGTAATCAGTTACGTCACCACTTTGCAGTGTGAATCGCCCTATGTGTTTTAGAGTAGACATCTTTCCTAAACCAGTAAATTGTAAGAATTCTGGCACTTTATACCTATAGGCCATGGATATGCTTGGTCTACCTAATCAGGATATAGCTTTGTGTAAGTCGACCTAATAACAGGACGTACCCCAAAAGCCATCTGGTCTTGTACTATTTCCATAATTTGATTCCTCAACATGACGTTGGGGTCATATGGAATTCCTACAGGTTGTTTGATCGGTTGATTTGCTTGAGGCCTGATGTTTGGTCATTGGTTGGTAACAAAGTTGCCTTGATTTGGGTCATTGTAATTGTTAGCCTGAATATTTATTCCATCATTAACACGTGGGGCATTCTGTCCATTATTTGGGACATTGTCTCTTACGTTTAGGTTACCCCCCAAGTTAGATGTATCATTGCCACTATTTTGATTGACATTACACCATCCACTGGTTTGAAGTAGAGGGACCAAAATGTGGTTCTACCCCTTGATTTGGACTTAGGACTAGGGCATTATGTCCCACAATTGTCCTAGCTTGGAAGTGATTTGCAAGAGGCACAACTGGCTAACAAATTTGGCCTACTAACTTATTCATTATTTCATTCAAAGTATTCAGTTGTTTGGTCATGTTGTCATAATGTGCATTCCCATTCTGGGTAAATCTTTCCATATTATGAATATTTCGTAGATTTACCTGTTCAATGACATCTTGTTTGAGTTCTCCAAGTAATGCATGTATGGTTCGAGGACTCAACTCTGTCATTGGTTTGTAACAACTGTGACTGTTCTGATTCTGTCCCTCTGTTCGTGGAGAGCTACGCTGCTCCTCATATCGCTCGATAACATACTGGACTCCTCCCTGACTTGCTGTTTCCTTATTAGATTTGTGAGGTATATTGTTTCACCTTTTGTATCTTCAACACGAAACACCAAGGTCCCACTGGACATGCCAAATTATTTCGCCCGGGTAGTCACTAACAATTAAAAAGGGATCAGACGATTGTGTAAGGAACAAACCTCTTGAGACAAAGTCCCAAAAAGGGGTGTTTTATTGGTGATGATTTACAATTTGGAACTAAATAGAATGCCTCCAAGGGGCGCAAGCACACGAGTACTGAAAGAAATGTTTAAGTTTAAACTAAGAAATTGAAATTATATATTCTCTGTTTGAGAGTGTTTGATTCGGGGTCTTTCTCTCTATATCTTCTCTTCCTTTTATATTCCCTCGATGATTCCTTTGTGACAAACTGCTTGAAAAATGTTTGATTACTTCATAACCACCCACTTTCTTTATGGTGGCTAACTTGTCATGGAACTGTCGTCTTTAATTGCTGCCACTACTCTTTATCGTTCAACCGCCTTCAACTGGGTTCCTTGAATCGTGGAATGTGATAAGATTGCTCAATAACTGATTTAATAACTCCATTCCTGGATAACCATAACATTTTATGTTTGCTAAGATCCTGGGCGATTCGAAAGTATGGGCGAGAACAGGGTCATCGCTCTGGACGACTGTAAGGCATTCCATTCGCTCAGATCTTGGACGTCTTGCAAGCTTGGGCGATGATGTTACTGTGTTCGTGGGCTTCCACTGCATTTATTAATAACCCTGTCTGGGCCTTTATCCTGAATTACCCAATTGGGCTTCATTCTTTGGGCTATTTAATTTAGGCTACACTTTTAGTGTGTCAACAGTCACCATTTGAGGGGAAAGCACAGTGTCCAATACAATGAAGGTAGGTTCATATCTAATTAATCGATATCGTCTCAGTTAGAACATATGATCTTCTTTTTAGAAAATAGACATTGTGTATGTGTTTTTGGTTAATGTACGAAGCCTATTGTGTAACATGTATATATAGAAATGATGGAGACATACAATTTGTATCTTACAGCTAAATAGATATATAAACCAAATATAGAACCTAAGCTATACATTGAAAGATTAATAAAGAGGAAGATATTAGACATTTATAAGAATAATGCTGGAATTCCTATCTTGGCTCATCAGTCATTGCACAATTAGTATGAGTTGTATAATTAGGGAGATATGATATGTCTGGCTTAACACTCCCCTCAAACGAATGGGAAGATCACAAACCATGAGTTTGTCTCTTAGGAACTGGAAACAAGAGAATGAGAGGCCATTTGTGAAAATATTCGCGACCTGATCTATTGTAGAGATATAGTGAGTATTGACCTTGTTCAAAACTTTTCTAGAATAAATGGAAATTCATGATGATGTGTTTAGTGCGAGCATGATAATCGGATTAGCAACAAAGACAATTACACTTTGATTGTCATACCAAAATGACAGGAGGAAAAAGAAAAGTCATATGAAGGTCTTTAAAAAGCATTCATAGCCAATAGAGTTCAGCAGCAACCATAGCCAAAGCCCGGTGTTCAGATTCAGTACTGGAGCAAAAAACCACACCTTGCTTCTTTTCACACCATGATATCAAATACGGGTGCAAAAATACTCTGTATCTAGTAATTGATCGTCTATCTCTTAGATCTCCAGCCCAGTCAAAATCACAGTTGGCATGAAGTTTTAAGGAACCTTTGCAGAAATATAGGCCAAGATCTAACGTACCCTTGAGATAGCGTAAGACTGTTTTGGCTGACTTGCAATGAAAAACTGTGGGAGAATGCAGATGTTGCCATAACTGATTCACAGAGTATGCAATCTCAGGTTGAGTTAAAGTACAATATTGAAGTATACCAACCAGTTGCCTGTGACCAGTAATATCCTCAATAGACTCATTATTCACAGTAGATATTTTTTCCTCCAAAGATAAATGGAGCTGGGCAGGGATTTATACCATCCATCCTAAAGAATTGAATAAGATCAACTATATTTTTACTTTGACGTAAATGAAGTCCCTGAGTATCCCTTGAGGCTTCAATTCCCAAGAAGCAGTCGAGCTCACCAAGAGCTTTCAAAGCAAATTCTTGTTTAAGCTGAGCAACAAGGTGTTGTATTGAGGTAGAACATGAACTGATGACGAGGAGATCATCAACATATATCAACACAAAATTATGTAAATTGCTATGACGAAAGGTACACAAGGATGTATCAACGGGGAACACGTAGAGCCAAAATCAAGCGGCCTGATTGATAGGCAAAGGAACCATGCTCTAGGCACCTATTTAAGGCTATAGAGGGCCTTTTAAGGCGACAAATATGCTCAGAAAATCGTGAATGGAGAATTCTACTTGGTTGTTCAATGAACACTTACTCTTCAAACCTTCCATGTAAGAAAGCATTTGAGACATTATACTGTTAAATAAGCTGGTCAAATAAAATAGATAGTGCTAAAATAACCCTCACTGTCACAGGTTTAATCACTAGATTAAATGTCCCATAAAGTCAACACCATTAATCCATTAGTCTCGTCTTATAGCAATCCATACTTCCATCAGTCTCCTGTTTGATTTTGTAGACCCATTTAGTGTGAATAATGGTGTGATCATGAGAACGAAGGACAAGATCCCAATAATCAATGGCAATGAGCGCATCATGTTCTCGTTTTATTGCCTGTTGCTATTCCTATGATAAATTAGCTTGAGAAAAGGTGTAAGGTTCAACACATTTAAGCATACTGGTATACATACGGAATGGATGCTTAGTGGCATAGAAGAGATGGAAACCTAGAGATCGTTTGGGACAGAGAGTCCCAGTTCTAGAC